TTGACTTTTTTTGACTTTTTTTTGACTTTTCAATTTGACTTTTTTTTGACTTTGACTTTTGGGATTGACTTTTTTTGACTTTTTTTTAAATTTTGAAAACAGGTTCTTTCCAATGAAAGTTTTTTATAAATCTACAGCGCAGGTCAGGCAGTGGCTCTACTTTATGATCTTTATGAAGTACTTAAAAGCACGGACTCCAAGATTGATCTGCAAACAGCATTGCCACAAGCACAAATCATCCAAGCCACTCAAGTCCGTCTTCCCCAATCCGCTGCCGCTGTAGTTGGCTGGGGGGATGAGCGCGCCCGCAAGGCCACCAGTTTCAGCGTGCATGAAATCACCTGGTACTGGTGCCCCACCACCAAAAGGATGCATGTGGATGAGCCAGCTCAGCAAACCCATACAAATCCTACGACAAATGCAGGGCTTGGTGCCCTGGCGTTTGAAAAACGGAGCGGCCAGCGTTCCAAGCTACTCCATGCATGCCAACGGAAGCTTTAACTTGTTCCAAAGGCACAAAAGTACCAAACGCAAATGCCAGCCACCATCGCCACGCAGCTGACCGCCTGCCACACGTGAGCCAAACAACAAACAAGTGAGGGGGATAAAACAAAAATGACACTCCACTCAAAACTATTCAGAGCGCGCACATGCTTAGGCAATAGGCACAACCTGTGTCTCTGTGATTGCACGACCAAATGATCTGTTAACGTTGATAACCTGCAAACACTCAACCGATGCAGAGTCGATCTGTTCATCGCACCAATTCCCTGGAATTACATGAGCAAACTTGGGAATGTCAAGGGAGTTGGACCCGCTCGCAAGAAAGGAATTTCCAGGCACATGTATCTCAACAGGCAAATTCCTTGAGGTCAAGAAAGAACATGCCTGCTGAGATCCATGTGCTTTAGATTTCCTGCCTGCACGGCCGTCACATAGCGAGGTGCTTTGCCTTCGGCCCATTCTTTAGGTGAGCATGGTGCATCTGGCCTGGAACAAATGCACTGGGAATGTCATGTTGGTGCATCTGCCCATATATCTGCCCAAACACGTGCATTTAGCCGCCTATGCCGGTATGCATGCTCTTGAAGAAACTGTTCGTGCAATGTTCTCTACTGCGATCCCACATGTTCTACCGGGCGAACATGGATATGAGAAGTGGAAAACACCCCATGTCACTGTCTCTCTCTCTCTCTCTCTGAAGGGGACATGGTCCTCTGGCAGCATGGGGGGTCCAACAACCTGCGAAAAACAGCGGTGAACCCGAGCATGCGCGATCATCAGGATCAGCAGTGGGAGCCAACCACCCAGCAGGCGTTCAATGAAGCCATGAGAATTGTGTGTTATCGCAAGCTGCTTGGCACAAGCTAACAACATGCATTGCTGCATCACGTGCATACTCACATGCATAAGAATCATAAAAGTCCTTTTTTCCCCACCTGTCAGGCGAGGGTTGTTAGATTTTATGTTAGCTGCCTCGGCCTCGCTGTTCTCCTCTCTCCTCCTCGCCTGTCCTCGCCTCTCTCCGTCGTCCTCCTCAACCGCGAGTGTCGGATGGCAGTGTTCTCCACCATTCCACCTCAACCGCCAGCTGCGGATTGCAGTGTTACCCGCAGGACCTCAACCGCCAGTTCCGGATGGCAGCGTTCCCCGCCTCAACCGCCACCTCAGGACCCCGCCAGGTCGCAACCGCCAGTTCCAGACGGCAGTGTTCCCCGCACGGTCTCGAGTCTCAACCGCCAGTTCCAGACGGCAGTGTTCCCCGCACGGTCTCAACCGCCAGTTCCGGACGGCAGTGTTCCCCGCACGGTCTCAACCGCCAGTTCCGGACGACAGTGTTCGATCCCCGCAGGACCTCAACCGCCAGTTCCGGACGGCAGTGTTCCCCGCCGGACCTCAACCGCCAGTTCCGGACGGCAGGTGTTCCCCGCACGGTCTCAACCGCCAGTTCCGAACGGCAGTGTTCCCCACCAGACCTCAACCACGATTCAGAAGATAAGCCAAATAGAACGCCAAACAGAATGTCAGAAAGAATGCCGAAAGACATGCCAGAAAGAATTTCAGCAAATATATATGCCAAAAGCAATGCCAGAAAGAACGTCAAAAAATATGCCAGAAAGAGTGCCAGCAGAGATGTCAGATAGAGTGCCAAAATGAGCGCCAGAAAGAATACCAAAAAGAATGTGAGAAGATATGAAGAAGACGTGGCAAGAAAGAGTGCCAGAAGACACGCCAGAAAGAACGCAAGAAGATGTGCCAAAAATAATGCCAGAAGATATGCCAGAAAGAATGCCAAAAGATATGCCAAAAGAATGCCCGAAAGATCCCGAAAGAGTGCCAGAAAATATCCCAGAAAGGGTGTCAGAAGAGTTGCCAGAAAGAATGTCAGAAGATATGCCGGACATTATGTTAGAAAGAATGTCAGAAGATGTGCCAGAAAATTGCAGAAAGAATGCGAGAAACATATGTCAGAAAGAATGCCGAAATCATGCTTCATGCATGCCAAAAAAAAGTCATATTGATATCTCATGGTGGGGATCACTCGAAGTGAAGTAATTGTAACTACAGCCTGCATCCGTACCACCTGCCAGCCCTATCCTATAAGCCTTTATTCATTGTGTCTCTGGAGGGTGATTCATCCCAGTTTGGCCCAAACAACATCATGGTAACCATGGGTACGTCTCTCTCCGTCTTCTTCTCGCCATGGTGTCTCGCTCTCGCAGCGCCGCAATGCGCCGCAGCGCCGCCAAAACAGCTCTTGCCTCCCTCCACCTCGGAGCAGCTGATGGCCCGCATCGATCTTCAGCAACAGCAAGTTGGCCAAGACAGTGAAAACAGTTGCGGCCCAGGAGGTGTAGGCACCCGCCTGCGAGACCGAGGCGTGACATGGCGTGACAGAACTGTCTGGCAAGAATCACCACAAGGACGAGTGGTGCGAGTATGTAGTTGTATAGCTTGACCAAATGGCAGTTGAGTCAATCAATTACACTCACTTGCAGTGCTTGACGACCTGACCCCACATGACCCCACGTACAACATCTCAGATTCAAACGGGTGGTCTGCTGATTCCCTCAGGCTCACAAAGGTGCAGGGTCAAACCCGCGCGCGTCCTCCAGGCCCAAGTACAACTTCTGGACCATGCCCAAAGGCAACGCTACATCATTGCTCAGGACCATGGCAGTGTTGCCGGTCGTCTCCGCCTGAAATCGCAACACCGATGGAGGTGCATCTTTCGACATCTGCAATTCCCAGGGCTCTGACAGAGCCCAGCTCTGTTGGGGGACAAGGATTCTCATAGAAGCCTTCAGCAGCCGTGAGACACCACGCATTCAACCTCATTCCACTGACGGTGCGTCGCCCATGATCTCGGTCCTCAGTCTCTGGGACCACGAAACCACCCAAACCCTCCAGCCTCCGAGAGAGCAAAGCGGCCCAAGACCAAGGCAACCATGAGGAGCTTCCGGCGGTAGGGGGCCAGGAAGGGGGTGAGCCAAACCAGCAGCATGATGGCATGGCAAGTGAAGGCCTTGGCCGGAAACGTTGGCTGGTTCTTCCTCCGATTGATCCATGACTTTGGAACGATCCATACTCCTCCCGCATTCATCCTGCATTTACACTTGAGAGATCTTAAGCTTGCTAACTGCTAGTCTGCATTGCTTGTGTCATTCATACAACCCTAAACCTCTCTAACGGAACTTCTTGACCTCTGCGATGCTGGGCTCCGTGCCGCGACCATTGACATGAAGAACCACAAGATCTGGCAGTAGAGCGATCCGCCCAGCAGGAACTGTTGCCCAATGCCTCGCTGTTTGGAGAGCTTCTTCGGCTGAGCCGCAAGCTTCGACATGGAAGATTGACAAAGGTGAAATTGGCAAATTGTTTGCTCATTTTGGACCCGAAGCTGACATGTGCGGATCATCTTCGACAAGCCACCAAAGAAGGTATACTGCAAGAGGGTGTCGTTTTTGAATATGGTGCCACCTGTCTTCTGCCTGAAGGCTTCCAAACGGAGAGCTCCAATCCGAGCACGCATTCAGTTCCAAACGAATAGGTCCAATGTATGTTTCCTGGACATCGCTATTCTGTGAAGCCTGTCCACGGGATGGGGTGGTCATGTTGCACAATTGCGGGGGCCTCTTTGTGACCATGATGTCTACGTGCTTAGATGTGCTTAGTCCTTCTGAGTTTCATTAGAGTTCTGGATGCAGCAGAGACTTCAAGTTCCGGAACTTCATTTCGAGGCACTCGATGGTGACGCCAGTGGCGGCAAAGGGCAACCAAAAGCATGCCAAAACCCGAGCCACCAGGCCAGCAGCCATCAATGTGCTGGTCGCGATGGTGCCTTGGCGGCCAAGGTGGAAACACAAATATTAGATTTAGAGTAGAGTCCTGCACCAGCTTCCATCACATCAACAAAAAGCAATTCCTCCTCTACAAGCACATGATATCAATACGCTCCATTCACTGCCCACCTGAAAGATTGGTTCAGGCATGTTCAGGCTTGTGACCATGTCTTGCACCAGTGACACGAGATCCGTGCTCATTCCAGCCGTCTTGGTGACCAAAAACTGACTTCGAGTTGCAGAGTTTGGGAGACGCCGCCACCGAATACGATGCATTCTTTCCCTGCCAGCTAATCGTTGCCTCAGAATGAGAAGCCGTCAAGGGGTCGCTGGTGCGCTTCATCGATTTTCCGAAGCACTGTCTCAAGTTCGGAGGCCTAAATTCTTCTCATTGCCATGCCCTCCTAACATGAGGTTGCTTCAAAAACTCTCTATCAAAATCCAAGCGCTCGGAAAGTGCTTGACCATTTTTGACCCCTATATCAATCCTTTGTCCGGCAGCTTACGGAACTACATGAAACTGTGGTGACTCTAGGAGCATTGCTCCAGCCTAGGGAATGTTGCTCACGCAGCCTTATGCAACCCTCTTTCCTTCAAATTACATATTTGTACAGCAGTAGTAGTAGTTGTTGTTGTTGTTGTTGTCTCAATTGTCCTCTTTGTCACACAGGTATGTTGGGCCTGGCGCATGACAACATTGTATGAACAACCTAGAGTTTAGCAAAGAGCCGAAACATTGCAAGACATGAAGTCCAAATTTCAACACGCAGGGTGACATCAGCAACTGCTAAATGCAAAAATGCGGTCGTGCATGGTACACGACTCCATGGTTAGGGAAGAACTCGATGTAGTTGGCAAGCAACCCAACCCTCCAGGTCTGGCTGTCCAAGCCGCCAACGGTGTGTTGGGCATCAAATCCGCCGATTCACAGGTGTCGGTGCTCATAAGCCGACCCAAAGTGGCAGCAAAGGTATAGGTCGCCTCGAGCAAAGGTATAGGCGTTCGATGTCTTACAACGAACGGACCAACAGGGCTGACAAAGGTTAAGAAATGTAAGCACCATATTGGTCGAGATATATCGGGAAGGATAGAGGGATGCCATGCCGCTGCATTGACATGCGATGATGTGGCGAAGTATGTCGTTGAAATCCGTCCATCCTTCGTCCACAACTTCCGATTCTCGCATCTACCCAGGCAACTCGCAACATGACGAGTCAATTGGAGTGGCAAACTGCCGACATGCTAGAAAATGAAGAGGTTGCATATTGATTCTATCTAGGCTTCACTGCGGCATCACTTAAGCCTCTCTAGCAAAACCAGTGGTCTTTTCATTTTCTTGAGCCAAATGGAGAATGTAGAGGAGGCACTGCAAGGGCCAGGATCACCAAAGCACTGCCCAACCAGAGCCTCATGGCGCAAGTGAAAGCCCTTGTCAAGCAAATTGTGATGTATCTCAACATGTATCTACATACACATATATATATATAGTCTACGTAGCTTTCCATTTGTCTCTGCCTAGCTTGTACATTGCATGTAGGTTTCAGTGCATGTCTGGATCAGAGTATCCAGCATGCCGTCGACGCGGATTGAGTGAACGTCCGACGAGTGGGTGATATATAGTCTACGTACATATACATACATATGTATCTCATCAAGTATATAATCACATATACTGTTTTTCCCTGGAAGTGTTGGACCTCGGACATCGGGGTATCAAATCTGAATTGTTACTGTCGAATCATTGATTAATTATGTTTAATGATTAATGAACTTGATTGGTTTGGGAAAACTTAAACAATAACTTTTGTACCTCTCTTGAAAGGTGTCTATCTATATTTGCGAAGCGGAACCGAACCTTCTTTGTTGGTCCAATGTGCGCTGCCCTCACTGCTTACCTGCCCTTGACATGACTTATCCTGGACTAGGCCCAGGCAAACAAATTTCGTGACCTTTTGGGTAGTAGAGATTGTGCCTCCCTTTTCATAAAGGGTCAGCAGCTACAGCTGCCGTATTTTGGACGGTGGTGCAAACTGGTCGAAGCAAGCCAGAACGAGGCCAAATAAGCCAAGGCGGCATGAGGTTGTCTGGTGTCACGTAGGTGTAGCCCAACTGGTCCTTGAAGAAAGCAGAGTCCTCCTGCAGGAGGAGCTTCATGCTTCTACTGCATTGGATTTGTGGAGCCGACACCTACTACATCAGTACTACATCAATTAAATTGAATCCTGCACCTGCCTATATTAAAGATCTGAAGATTGGCCATATTTCAGAGTTGCTCCCAGAGCGCGTCCCTCCACCTAGAAGCAAAAACGAATGAATTTTCCCAAAGGGCCTCGGCCTTCTCTGCAAGCTGTGGGCTGGTGCATTGCTTCTTCACAGTGTCACGGGCCATGTGATACAAACCTGAGCCCACAATGTCATTGTTTAAGATCAAAATGTATTGAACATGTAGCCAACCACCTGATGGATATCTTTGCATGAGATCACGAGGAATCGTCAGAATCACTAGGCTGCTGAGATCCCCTGAGTCAAATGTCTGCGAAAAGCTTTCCAAGTCACGGGTGGCCCCTTCTGTGGTGGAGGCCCATTCCCTCATCTGATCTCCGTACTTGCACGCATCTGGGTGCATGGTGCACATCTGCTCCACAGGGTACTGTGCAGGTCCGTCCTGATGAAAAAAACAGCGCTAAGTGCCAAGGATTGGGCAAATGACATAGTCACACACCCCTGAAGCTAAGTGAGCAAACGCACATTAAGGTCACCAAAGTGCCCAAATGAATCATTGTTTTTTGATATCTGGTAGATGTTTCAGTGTCAAAAGGCCACCTTAAACTTGCCTCGTATATATATATATATATATTGGACCATCTTGATTCTGAGAAGAGCCACACCACACCGCCCGAACGTTCCAATGCTCTTTCTTCGGTCCTTTGGCTGCACCAGGACACGGCCATTGCCGCCCCAGGTGGCATTGACTTTCATGATGTCCATCTTGGAGAAGGGTGACAGCAACGCGCATGTGAGACTCGGTGGGATTTGCCTTGGCGATAAGATGGAGCGACTATACACTCTCAACGAGCCCCCCCTCACCACTCCCTGGTTAAAATCATCTCGATGTGTAAATTATGTTGAAAAACATTATTTCAGTACAGTACTGCCACCTATAACTTCTTCTGGCATGGTATATGAGCGAGAAACGATGGACATCTCGAAAGAAGCGACCAAGCGGCGTATCCATGAGTTGCCAAAAGTCCACGACCACGTCCAGCTGGCGGCAGAAAACGGTTTGACAAAATCCAACTCAGCGATGCATGTACCCAAAAAACATAGCCCTCGTCAGGAGGTTTTGGAAGATCATTCAATCTCTTCCCGTACCAGGTAGGGCGATGTTGCCGGACGACACCCTGCACCCTTATAGATTCTGCCCATCTATCATCAATAGATCACTTTAGCCATAGCCTTAGCTCTTTTAAGAGTGACCCCCATCTCCGGTGCTTAACCTAATTAACAAACTGATTGCTTTTTACAAGTCTTGCTTTTCATCTCGCACTTTGATTGATGGATTCGCATGGATGAGGGAGGCAGCAGTCCCCATTCACAATCCGTCAAACTCCCTAAAACATTGTACCCCCACCGGCCAAGTGAATTGTCTTCCGTTTGTTCAGTTCTGACTAGTTCTGAGCGCCCTGATATTGAAATAAAGTCACCTGGATATCCTTCACAAACCGTCCATCACCGCCCGCAGACTGAAGCGCTGAGAGGTGATGCATCACCTCTCACCGATGAGGTCGCAGTCAGGCCTCCGCTTCCATGGTGCCACAGGGCATCTCCAAACTCACCAGGCCGTCTCCACCGAAGACTCCGGCGAAGAGGGAGCCATTCACGGCAAAGGTCGGGTGGTATGGTGCCTGGATGGGTGGGATGAGCTCAACATGATGCACCCACAGTTTGAAGAGAGAGAGAGAGAGAGTTCTTTGCTGGGAACTGGGAAGGGAGATCGTGAAACCAGGCAGAAACATGTGAAACCATCAACTGCTGGACTCCAAGACTAATTGGCTTTGCGCAGCGATTGGCGCTGATTTTGGTTCGAGGTCTCTGAAATGGACTGTCACAGCTAAGCGCCCGTCGTCACGTTCGTACGTTCGGCCAAAATCTGCGCCAATGAAGCACAACTGCAACTACACTATCCCTATGATAGTTGCAACTAATCTCTCTCATCACGATATGAATAAGTCATCACTCGACTCTCCTCGATTGGCCACGACTAAATGGTGCTGCGTCACCACAGCAGCCCAAGCGTAGAAGGAAAACCAGGGAAAAAAGAACGGCAGGCCCAACAGTGGAACTCACTTGAAGCGCAACACGCCTGCTCGGTGGGACATTTGGCCACCGCCTTGTTCCCTAGCCAGCTGGGATGCTCACTGGAGGGCAGCAGCACTCGAAGTTCGCTGACCTCGAGCTCCATTTGAATAAATGGGATGGAACATGCTGGGCACATGGAACTATCGGAATATAATAATATATATATATTATTGGATTTGAAGGGAATGTCTATGACAATGAATGTAATTATGTTATGTTCGTATCACAATAGTAAACCACTCCACGAATCAATTATAAACTTAAGAATCTCCTGGCAACGGAAACCATGCAATTATAAACTACTGTCAATTAAACAAAAACAGCGTTTTTGGTAGGTTGAATATTAGAGTCATTAGAGAGTGGGTCAATTATATAAACCCACTATTCTGGACACATATACTATAAATACAATTACAATAAACTTGACTTACTCCTCTACAACAAAAACACATTCTTTTCTAAGTAGGTTGGAATAATAAACTCGACTTTCTGCTCTACAATAGTAAGCCTACTCTAAACCTCTTAACAAATAAAGCTTATAACTGGTTACATTGCCTCAGCAAAATCACAATTTAAACTTTAAACTAGCTTAAAACAATCAAATTCTCTATATCATACTTCTTTAACAAATCCTCAAAGTCTTGGCCAAAAGTACCCCTTGCGAAGACCTAAAACATACAATTAATTACAAACATCTGCCAATAAAAAGGGGTTGCAATAATACACTTAGCTTACTCCTCTCCAATAATAAGCCTGCTTTTCTAGTAGGTTGCAATAATAAGCTTGACAGTTTGCCATACAATAACTATGAACCGTATGAACCTGTTGTTTTGTTTACGTGCCGTAATTTGATGTGATTATATAATTAGATGTTTTTAGTAGGCATCAATAATAGACTTGATTTATTCCTCTACAATGATAAACCTCTTTCCGGATTGAACTAATTACAGTATTACATCTACAATTTGGACCAATTCAAAACACAAATGAACAAATTGTCATAATCCGAAGGTCTGAGGTTTATTGTTGCGAGCAGTTTCTTTTGTTATCTTTATTACGACGATTTACGACGAACATGTTTTTGCCACAGGTTTTCACTAGGGGGGAGATTTATTGTTGGGATGTGAACATTACTTTACTTACTTTCAGAAATCCCTTATCTGAAGGTGCCTCAGAAAACATATCTCTTTGGAATTCGTTGAGAATGATCAAGTTTCATCTGATCTGTCTGACAGCTCTTGAACATGGTAACACCGGTGCCTGGTTCAATCCCGTCGCGATGAGCTGACGCAGCGTCACTTTGCCTTTCAAGGGCACATCCAATTGTGGCATGTTGCCAAGACCATCCTCCAGGGAGAGAATGATCAACAGCAAAACAATGGAAAGCTCCCCCCAAAAAATAGACACAAACGACATGATAGGGAGGGCGACATATTAAAACATATGTCGAAGCTATTGCTGATGACGATTTTCGATTATTTTATTAGGTCTCCTCAAGCACGGAGGTATTGTGAGCGATGAAGCCATCGAAAAAGTTGTCGATCCACTGTCGCCTTGGGATGCTGCACGTGAGCCGTCAGCTCCAGCTCCCAAACGAACGCAATCGAGCTGAAGGAGGGAAGAAAAGTGCAAAATAGTGCAGGGTTAGTTGGGTCAGAACCCTGTGCAAACTAACCCTGCAAAATAGTGCAAAGGTGAATGAGTCGGAGATTGCTGGGCATGCGAAATCTGCTTGACTTGAAGTCAGAACAGGCCAGTCTTGGACAGTCGTTTTTGGCTTTCGGGTCACATGAAATTGTCGAAGATCGGCGGCCAATTGCTGTAGTGCTCGGGGAACACATTTCGCACCTCACGGACTTCCCAAAAGCAAAAACGCCCAAGGTCCACACGCTGCTGCGAGCGGTCCCAGCGATGAAGTGAGTGATAGTGAGTGGAGGAAAGAAATGGAAAGAAGACAAACATGACGCTACTAGTAACAAGGGCATCGCTTCTAGTAACAAGTGCCTTACTAGTAGTAACAAGGACGCTACTAGGGGCTCCTGGCATCGCTACTAGGAGCCAAGGACGCTACTAGTAACAAGGGCATCGGTGCCCTGGTCCAACCTGCTGCGATGCCAGCGCAGGATCGATACATCGGCCTGGTTTCCTGGGTCCGGAAGGTCCGGAAGGGTCGGACGTCGGGTGACACGTGCCGGCTCGGAAGCAGAAGATGCACCGATAGGAGAGCAAGTTGGGAATCCACACAATCGATGTCAATGGATAAAGAAGACATGTAAACGTTTCACACTCAGCTTTGGGTTGGTTAAACTATGTCAGACTGAGATCTGAACACATGAAATATTTGGACATCTCTGTTGGTGGAGCTGCATCCATGAGACACCTTGTTCGAAGGTGGTCAAGGATGTTAATGGTAACTGAAACCTCGTTGACGTGATAAGATAGGACCCTGAGAAAAAACCTTAACTTAAAGTCCATGTTGCATCATGTGTTCTGCAATTTTCCTCGCATCAGTCATCTCTCCTCCGAGGCTCATCTGTTGCTGGAGTGCCTTGTTGAGAGACTGCACCGTCTTGTCGCAAGCGGCAAACCGTTGGATCGCACCAGGCAAGAGTGGCTGGTAGACCTGCCGAGCCGACGCATTTGCCATGTAAAAATACGTGTATCAGAAGTTCATTTTTGTTAAATTCAGGTGCCCGTGAGCTGTCATCTAGTTATGTCAGTTATGTCTATTTAAGTAAATGCATCTTTTGTATATATATATATATGTGGTACCCGGTACCCCCCAAAAAAGAACAACCCGTTCATAAAGTTTACTGCTGTTTGCAGTGTTGGCATATGTTTGCTAAAGAACTATATAACAAGCAATACGGTACTTCACAAAAACAAAAAAAACAACATGAAAGGAAACACATACTATACACAGGATATCCCCAATGACTCAAATGACAAAAAGCAACAAACTAACAAACAAAAACAATCACAACAAAGCAACACTTTGAGGAGACTTTTTGGTTCAGCCTCAAAAAATGTTGTTTTGTGGTGTTCCTTGTTGTTTGTTTGTTTTTTTTTTTTTGGGGGGGGGGGGTGAAAGCCAAAAACCAAAAACAAAAAAACAAGCTTGTGTTTTTGTTTTTGATTAAACATATTCATGCAAAAGAGAGAAATAGGGTGAAGCAATGTGAAACCACAAAGGCATGGAAAAGGCATCACTAGCAACTGCCGCTCGCAGGCCCGTGTCACTGCCGCATGACACTCCGGAGTGTCGCCATGCCATCTCCGGAGTGTCGCCTGGTTGAAGAGCCCGACGCCATTGTTCAACAAGTTTGCGACGGCATTCTCCAACGCGCCCTGAGTGTGAGTGATGAAGCTCAGCGGAGCCGCCAAGTTTTCGAACCTTGGTGAAGCCAAAGGCCAACACAAAAATGACCATCCAAACAGTCCTGGTCCAACCAACCAAAAGTTATATATTGGTGCCATTTGGTGTACTGTGTTGGTCTGTGTCAGGCATCGAGGCAACTGCTTACTTTGTACAATGCACAATTTCTCGCGAGGCACTTCATCTGCAAGGATTTGACGGCCGGTGTTTGCTTGAGCACACTTGTCAGGCACTCTTTGGGAGCCACCAAGAGCTGTGCAAGGCTCCGAGTTCCTTGGAAGTGAAGGCGAGGTGAATAGTGTTGCGTCTTGGAGATGAATCAGAAGCGTCCCGGGTCACACATCGAACATAGGCTATAAAGGCCCCCAAATAGATAGAAAAGTAGATCCCCACTAGAAATGTATTGGAAACCGTTTCCATCTATTTAGGGACCACCACGATAATTCCTTGAAATTCTTTATTTTATGTGTATATAATTACCATTGATCAGTGATCAGTGATAAATACGCTTTTCTGCGACAATATCCAAAGCACGATCTGCTTGTGTATGTAGTTTCAGAATGTCTAGCATACCGTTTGTGTATATAGCTTCCCGCAAGCATCTCTATCTCTCTCTCTCTCTCTCAGTCAGCTCTCCCGCTGCCTCAATGAGGAGCCCTTAACTCCCACGCTGAACCCACACCGGATCCATGCCGAAGCTTCCGGGCCACTCGCTGGCCAAAACCTGAACTTCTCCCAGCACTTCCTGGATAGAGGGCGAAACTGCTCCAAGATGAGTCTAGGAAGGGAAGAACCGTCCGTGTAAGCCTAGGCCTAAGTAGCTCGGTATGCTCAGTCAACAAACCCCAAGCACTGCGTGTGACGATTGAGCACTGCCCCTCCAGCGAAGGCTTGAGAACCGCAAGGTGCAGGCTCATCTCCTGCCTGAGATGGTCAGGACATGTCAGGACCAAAGGCCAAGCATTCTTAAGCTACTAGTAACAAGGGCATCGCTACTAGTAACAAGGGCATTACTACTAATTAGTAGCAAGAAGCTACTAGTAACAAGGGTGATATCAGGATCTGCCAAAGATGTGTCTCACCGCTTGTGACAGGCTCTGACATGGTGAGGTTCTGCCAACTTCTCTTGCAGGTTCTGACATGAGCATGAACCCAAGCGTGTGAAACTCCCAGTTGCTCCATCGATGCTTGCGACTTGCCGCTGGACAAATCCACAGCCTCAACCTGAGCACCGCGGTGACACGAGAGGTCATGCACTGAGTACCCCTGATAACGCCAAAGAGTTGGTACGAGGAGCTTTATCCAGTTCACACAATTGGAATGGCCCAACAGACTCTGGCCCACCGGCTCCAATGTGTTGATTTTTGAACTTGGCTTCCTTCGGCACGCCTAGCTTGCACAATCAAGTACAGTATCTGACATAGAGATCAAAGTCAAGGCAAACCGTTAGGCAGGCTGAGCAAAGCTGGCCCAAAAGGAAGTGGTTCTGTCTGGCCGTTTGGTTTGGTCCTCCTTTTTTCCGTTCTTGACACAAACCTGACATGGTGGCCGCGTGCCTCGAGCTTCACATCCACGCCGAAGCCGAAGGCGGGACGCTCTGCAGTGCCCCAACTCACCTGCCAGTGGCAGGCACTGCAGGGGAAGCGACAAACGTAGGTTGTAGGGATCTTGGGCTCCTCAAGGCAAATTTATAGGATCAAACAAGTTATACTGAGGATCGAGGCGTTTTGATGCAATGAAATGGCAACATCTGCGCCATATGCTGTTGCAAGTTGCAAGGCTTATGCAGCTGCTTCCAAGACGGTGGTCAACAGCTTCATAATAAGGACTAAGCAAGGTCTACAACTATAGCGGCTTGGCAATCGAAAGGACAATCTCGTTGCCCTTACGAGCAAAACAGAATAGGAAGTGATTGTCGCATGATTGTGGGTCACTAGGTCGCAGCACGGATCAGAACTGTGCTGCCATGCACAAGGATTTGGCACGTTTGGGCACAGGTTGAAGTAAAAGCTTTGAACTGCGTTTCCCAATTGCCCTCACACCGAACTTCAGGGTGGGCCTCTCAAAGGTCATTGCAAATGATGCTTCCCCTTCTCCACCGAGGTCACGATTGATATATCTTCTATAAATATAACTATATACAGTTATTTTATTTGTATATAAATTATGATACTATGTTTCATTCTTCAAGTAGAGTCCCGACTTTTGGATCCCCAACACTCCTGCATGGCTGCATTCCTAGGTCAAATAAAGCAGCTGAGTTGAGTCCAACTCAAAAAGGTTCTGGGCAAACAAGGAGGCAAAAGAATTGAGAGCAAATCCGCATTTAGATTCCTTAAATGTATATTATATAATTATTGGAAGGGGTGTTCTATCACTGCGGAAAAAGCAATGTACAGTAGCTACTGTTGTTGTAACATACTGTGGCAGCTGGATTGAAACGGCAGGCCGGTCCGCCTTGAAACGCAGGTCGTTGGAGCCCACAGCTTCCACAGGAGAGAAGGCAGACATGCCATCAGCTCCTGGAGATAGGCCGATGGGCCCGGAAAGCTGCTGAAGCCCTTCCCAGCTCTACAATCCCCAGCTGCTGGGCTCCCGCCTTCGATGCTGGCAGACTTCAAGAAGGCAGTCACCTTCAACTCAAGGCCTTCCAAACCAATCTGAGTCAACAGGGCATCTGACGGAGTTGGGCCCAGAAGCAAGGGATGCAAGGGGTGTTGATCTATTCGTCTTGCTAGCTTATCTTTGCTGTCCGCCAGTTTTCAAACATCCAGGCTGGTCCAGGCATGACAGAATCAGAAGATGTCAAACGCACAACGAAAAAGGCACTCCCCCTGGGAAGCAACAATCAGACTACAAAAAGTGAGGCTGCAGAACAGTAGCTTGGGGCAAAATAACTTACTGCAAGTAAGGACATGCCTGCGTCAGGCTGCTTCACGGTGGTTGTCATCAGGGGCGTCTCCTAGGCTGGACTGGGCAAACAAAAGCAAGCTAATTAGATCCAATTGACCTGCAGATCAAGCATTGGAGGTTGTTTTGCTAGCTGGCCGCTGCTATTCTTGCTGGCAGCTGCCTGCTAAGCTGCTCCAGGCAAAGTCCAGCGACGGGCGAAGTGCTTACTTGGACACCCACAGAGCCACTGGCGAATCTGCATACTAAACACCCCACGGGCCGGTCATAGAAGTCAACCCAGTGGGCCCAAGTGAGAAGGCCTGCAATCGAGATGCTGGTCCAGGGATTACGATCGTCTCATTGCCCTTCACTGCCCAACCTCAGCACAGCATGCTCGGCATAGCGTGTACACAAGAAGCCAGCAGCCGATGCCTAAAACGGTCAAGGCACGCATTCATCAAATGTCCACCTTGCCAACAAACGACCGAACCTGCCCTGACGAGTCTGTCGGCAGAGGCTCCTGTGAACTGTTGCGATGATGCATTGGATGGCGTGGTGATACTGACTATGAACGATGTCCACCATGCTCTTTGGCAGCAGCAGTGCGGGTGCCAGATGGTGGAACATAGAACATGGCCCCTATGTTCATAGTGACTGCAGGCATGACAGCATGTCACCTATCAGACCTCTCACATTCAAAACCCAGCTCTTTCCGTGGTGGTTTATGAACCCCGCTTCATCGAACCCCACCACTCCCGCGTTTTCGGCTTGCTCACTCGCCGGGACACGGATCGCCTGATCCAAGCGGTCGGGACCGATGACATCGTCCACCAGCCAGGAGATCCACTCTGGGCGCCAAATCCGAAAGGAGTTGCCACAAAACTCGCCCAAAGTGAATTGGACTATATATATATATATATACCAGTTCAACCATGGGAAAGCCATTTCAAGCCATTATACTATATTTACTATTTCGAGCCATGTTCAACTGGAGTTGGGAGATCTTTTGGACTAACATGATGCTGCTCAATTTGGTCTAAACTGAGCTGTACCCGTCTAACCTGGATGAAAACTTTAGAAGGTTCACGTCGGTGGGCGATTCGCAACGGAGCTGCTCCCGGCCAGCACTTCATCAAAATCATCAAAGCCATCACAAATGGGGTTCCTTCCGACTTCCAAGTCCAATTTTTAAATCATAGATGTCATGACACATCCTCCTGACACTCTTAGTTACACAAGTTGTTGTTGCTTTTTAGCCTGAGACTCGTCAAGTGAGCCAAGTGGAATGACTTTATCCGACATCATCCCATGTCTGGAAAAGTGTTGCAAACACACCTAAGCCATTCCAGCATAAAGCCAAGAGCAATTCCAGCATAAAGCCTGAGGCCAACCTGCTGGGTGTAAAGCATGAAGTGGGATCCTGCTGGTGTAAAAGTTTGGCCTCCTGGCCCTTGGGCCCCTTGGGATGTCGTTGGACCAATTTGTGTCACATGTTTCCAGCATGTCCAGTTCTTTCTATCAGATCTTGGTACTGCTAAGCCGCTAAGCCTGATCCAACTCAAGAACCACCTGAGCCCATGAGGTAGGATCCTGTGCCGGGCTGCTCAAGGATGCATCATGGCTCCAATCCACAGTGCCGCTCTTCTCTTCAGCCTTTCACTGGACACAGTGACACACAGCAATCCACGCAAACACGGAGATGGCCCATTATTAGCACACATGCACATGGTTTGGTGTGAGCATTTGTGAGCCTTGATCCTAGCTGTCCTACATCATGTGCATTGCACAGGTTCATTTGCCTGGCCCTGCCACCTGGAATGGAGCCCCTGACTTCCCATGATGACCCCTCCCATCTCGGTGACTCCCGACATGGAGTGTCAACGTGCGACCCAAACGGAAGGCTTCTGGGACCAGTGCGAAGAATGTAGGACAATCCTTTCCGTAGAATTCACCAACCCTCCGGAGGCTGCGGGGATTGTGTCATGACATCGTCTGATGAGGCCAATCGATGGCGAAACTGGAGGTTCTGATGAGGCCAATCAATCCTGAAATGTGCACATGAATACATCTCTCTCTCTCTATATATATATACATTCATTATTATACGTCAGTTTAAAACCACTCTTATATAAACGTATACTTGCACCTTGATTCGGACCTTGATCTTTGCGACAGTGACTTTCAAACATAAGGATCATAAGGGCTTAGGTGGCCCCCCCCTGTCATTCCTTCGGGTCAAGCCATCTCCCATCGACCAGGCGCCTGAAGTCGTCGGTACTCAGCAACTCTCAAATGTCCCGCGGGCGCGTCGTGCTTCAGATCTGCGACGTCGTGCTTGGCATCAATGAGATCATCAAAGCTGTGGACTTTGGTGTGGAACCAGCTGTCCCCATCCTGGACCAAGAAACACCAAGAAAAGGAGCAAAGTCTGGACAGTCGTACAATAGTCGTACAACAAACCATCTGTGTCGGATGGCTCTGCAGCTTGTTAGTCTTGTGTCGGTCCATGGATATCAACACTTAAGTACAACATGTGAGCACGCAGACGAGAGCGAGGACTTCCTCCTTACTCGGAAGCATGGCGAGACTACAAGGTCAACGTGAGGATGCTTTATTCAGCAAGAATGTTTCGACCTCAGCACCCGCGGAAGTGACCGTCTCTTGCAGCACCTAACTGCTGTCTATGTAGAAATCTAGTGCATCTGGTCTCGAGGCATTGTGGAAGCACAGCCCACCAAATGTGAAACACATTATAATACAATATATTAGACACGACGCAAGGTGAGTGCCCTCAGAAAAAAGAAAGCTCAAAAAAGGCTACCCTCCACAAAAGAACCTTCCGGGCCCACAGCTCAAAACCTCTCTCCCATCCCAGAAGTGCCATCGCACTGGTGTGCTGCCCTTTTCCAGTAAAAAACGCAAGAATCACCACCAATGGTGCGCAAACCGCCAAAGACCACAATGGGTACAATGCCGTGACTAAGGGTGGTGAGAACTATTTCACCAAAGCAGGAGAGGCACAACGGTTTTCACATGAGAAACCTCCCTATGCATCCATTGGCACAAAAGGGGCTCAACCATAAAGCCACAAATGAATCCAAGGTAGCATGAAAGCAGGAATGCCCTGCAAGGTTGAGAACCAAGAGGCCAACAAAAAAGGGCAACACAAACTCGAGGTCCAAAAACATTCGTGCCTATGAGTTTGCCCTCAACATGTAAGTATTTATAGACCGACTTTGGGGGCAAACCTGGGTAGCCCATGGTAGCCCAGTCTCTTTCTTGAAGTAGCTAAGTTTCAGATGCAAATGATGATCTCTCTCTCTCTCTCTCCACAGCTGTATGCAGGCCTCAAAGCTCGTGGCCACTGAGTTCACGAACAGCTCAGAGGGTGGCAGCATGAGGCGATTGAAGTCTGAGAGCTTCTTGGAAAGCCTCGCAGTTCAGGCTAGAAGAGACACTTGAGGAAGTCGGAAGCTCTTGTCACTTCGGGTGATTATGCCCTGACCTGGACAAACTCCAAAATACCATGAAATGGTAGTGCCCTCTGGTCATTGCACCCACTTTCTGATAGCAAATCCATGCAAAGCCATAAAACAAGCCGAAGATAGAACCGTACTTACCGAAGTGGTCTTACTCACGCTTCTGAGTCCAAGTTGCTCTATGCGATGGCTTTGTTGACCGGTCAACACCCCTCTATCAACTGCTTGCGGCTCACCAAGTGTTGGTCGCGACCAGACGCGCTTGTCCGAGTGGCTCATTGGCGGCCATCTGCTTGAGCTGCCCACACGCCTGGCTGATGGCCTCGCAGCGCTCGAAAGGTGCGGATTCTTTAATCTTCAGTGTAATGCTCCAGTGGGGTTGGTTGGCGGGTCCTTTGCCCCGAACATGCGCGAACTTGGGTCCATATTTATATACATATATATATATATGTTATAAGCGCATATAACATGTTTGAGTCGGGAAGATCAGCTTGAGAATTGTTGCCACATACATGCGGCACGCACAAGCCAACTCAGCACAGAACCATCAAAAGCACTGGTTCTTGCAATATGTCATACCCTTGGACTTTGTCATAGGGTCTTCAGGGCTCTTCTAGCTTCCATGATTGCATCGAGGCACGGAAAAGGGAGCAATCAATTGAATTCGTTGAGCTTTATACTCGCCCCGTGGCTACACTTTGATCGAAGTACCCTGTAGGTCGTTATCCAAGTCATTGAGAAAACCACTTCACGTCGCAGTTACCAGAGCTTGGTGACAACACATGTGCTTTTTTTTGGACCAAACAATTCGCAGCAGGAAAAGCGTCTCGGAAATTCGTGTCACTCTCAACGGGTGATTCGCCTGGTGCTTAATCAAAGCTGAGATGGGCTTAGAGAAGAGGTTGATCACATCATAGACGATGGAACCTTGGAGCTTGAGATCGATATCCAGGTTGGCATCGCAGGCGGCTGCCTCCCCCGCTCCGCCCAGCGAGGTCAGCAAAAGCACACATCAAGCAGCCAAAGTGCAAGCGGCGAAGAGTACTACTACACAAGTTTAACTTGGTAAGATATATATACAATTAAGCCAATATCAGTCGAGCAAGGCCCCGGCATACAAAGAACAAGGTCCAAACTCCAAACAGGCTTCTTGTCGGGCCTCGACAGACCAAGGGAGGTTCTTGTTGAAGTTCATACCTTTCAATGCCACGGTAGCAGTGGAAGTTGGGCTGCCCTTCACCTGTGCAGAGGCATAAGTCCATCTGATTCCATCTGGAGGTTCATCACTGGTCTCTCTGACGGGGTTTTCTTAAGTGAGCTGAAAACCAACGCGCAAAGAAGGTCGTGAGTCAACACTCGGAAGCCATCAACAAAGCACCAGCTCCTGAAAGACTCTGGTGACATCCATGAAGGACCAAAATATCCAAAAAGAATACAGGCTCAAGTTGGGGTGTCCGAAACAAGTGTTTGGGTGTTCTTACTTTCGGCTCGCTCGACGCCAGGGCACCACAGCACTAAGGTCCCCAGAGCCACTGACGATGGCCAAGCCGTGATAGTCAAAGTGTCCAGTGCAGCTGATCCCCACGCCCTGCAGCGTGATGGATAAGCCGACGTCCTGCGGAGTAGTGGTACCAGGCGAGAACACCAAAAAGGCAAGCTGACAACTGTCTAAGGTTTAAAACCTAAGTCGGACTGTTTGGATTTGGGTGCCTCTTAAACAATCCAATTGCCTCCCACATGAAATCAGGGATCCTCAGTTTAAGGTTCTCGCGTTACCTTGTCCCGAATGGGTCATTAATCTTGGACCTCCAAAATTTCAACAACGCCTGTTTGAAGAAATAACCAATTATCACAATCAAACAACGTCATGCATGTGTGCGTGTGTGTGTGGGATGTCTTAATTCTGGTCCCCTTGTCCTCGAACATTCTCCTATGCATCCTCTTTGCTGTGCCCTCGCTTGGAAAATGGTATAGGGAAACAGATGTCACTTAGTTTCGCATAGTGACATGTCCCATGCTGCTTGAAGGTGGATGGATCGGGGATGGGGAATCTGGAAGGACAAACTTCGAGGGCAAGGGGAGCAAAAAAGCAGGGAGCCGGTGCCTGATAGCCGGTGCGAGCTCACACAAAACAGGCCGTCAGCGATGATTGACGGAGCAAGCCAGGGACAAACATCGCCAACTTTGCCAACGCCAAACATCGCCAAACTACCAGCAGTGGAGATTTGAAAAAGCAAAGAAGAACAACAAATCTGCAAACAAACCTGCTTGATTGAATCAAAGAGTTTGTCAAACCACTGCTCGTCGAACATTAAGGAACGGCAGTGTTTGCAATCCCTCCCGTGACAGGCGGACTGCGTCCTGAACTGCTGACTGGATGTCGGTGAGTTTCAGGTTCTGACCTTTGCAAGTTCTTAGGGTAGCAAATGCAACAAGTCGTTTTCAAGCGGGACCTCCTGCATTGATATATATAGAGAGAGATGCATATACATATATATATATACATGAACTCCTCTCAAAACTCCTGGCTCAAATCCCAAAGACTATATTGGGTCAACCCTTAATAGTTGCAAACCACCGCTTTGGGATTTAAGCCAAGAGTCTTGAGGGTATAAGGCCTTATCGTATGCTACACCCATGACAACAAGAGTATGAACAAGACCAAGCAGCACACCAGCTTCGAGACCTTGAATGTGATGCCAGCTTTCTCCTGCGTGACCTTGCCACATATGTTACCATTTCAGGCGAAAGTGAGTACAAGAACAAATGAGATCACTGGTTGTAACTGTTCATGTCTTGAAAATGGCAATCTCTCTCTCTCTCTCTGTCTCTCTGTCTACTCTCTCGCTCGCTCTCCAATATCCATCACCCTCCAATTTACAAACCACCGCTCAGGCACATCTTCCAAAGAGAACTTAAGGCTATCCAGCCATTGCGCCAACGGATCAGGGGAAGCGGCCACAAAAGCAGCTGCAAACAGCATGCGGGCCATAACACCGATCGCAGAAGCCATGCCTTTGGCAAGATCGAAAATCAGCGCTGGTTGGATCCTCTTGAGCCAGTGTCTTCGGGAAGATGGACCCTCCTGCTGGGATAATGGTCAAGCAACATGTTACTGAGCTAGACCAGCTACCAAGTGCACTATTCCGCAGGATGGCGCCTGCCATGGGAGTTATATAGCTTTGACCAGGTAGTACGTATATATATATAGAGAGAGAGATATACAGTAATCAGTACACACACATATATATGTATATATATTATTCAGCAAAGAGTGCCAAAAAGCCAATAATAATAGACAAAAAAAAAGTGCAAAGCAACCTGGCTGCTTTAAGCTGAAGCCTGGCCATGGGGCACATGTTGCGGAGGCTCGGGGCCACATGCTGGGCGAGGCGGATCTCGGCGACCAGGTCGCAAATGCCGTTCCTGAGAACACATGATTCCCACGCAAATCATTAGGGACCTATTTGTGATTAGGAGCGCTGTTATTGTCAGGCAAGGGGATAGACCCTCTTGGATAATTAGGCAAATCATTCATTGATGGCGGCTAATGAAGCAAATGAGATGTTTCATGGTGTTTCCACTTGACAGAGGCTGCTGCAAGTCTTCTCTTTTTTTAGCCAAGCTGGCAGTCTAGGACTCCCCTAGCCCCTCCAGAGCAAAGGAAAGAAACTCCTCACACTCATATGAAGGTATGAAAGCAATTTTGATATCACCTTTCCTACCCTGGGCACTGGCAGGGGTTGTCCTGATTTGGACACGTCAAGCAAATGCAGACTTGCCGCTCAACACAAAATGCCTCAACATCATCGTGGATGTGAGGGAGGTCTGCTCCAGGTTTGACTTTAAATATACACACTCAATGGGCGTGTACGCTGAGAAGAACGGTTCCACAACGCCAAACCTGGGTTTTGGTTCAAACTCGCGCATGAGACCAAAAATCGCCCGAAGAGGGCCTGGCATTTTGCCCAGCAGCCCCCGCTCAAAAAAAGCTGTGTAAGCGAAATAAAGATACATAAAGAACTGGATTGGCAAACCATGAACGTGCGCCTCAGCACCAGAAGGCCCAGTCCATAAAATGAACATTGAATGCTTTTGAATTACACATGCCATTCTCAGGACAATCCAACCATACCTTACACATTCTCACTCGAGCATGAACTTCCTGGAAACGGAGAAGGTTCTCTGGAACTCCCTGAGTCCTGAACACGGTCAAAAGCCACCGAAACGGGACCATGCAACTCCTGAAACTCCTTCCCTCCGAAGCCGCTCAGGCACAAAGAGAGCCGCAGGGGACGCAAGGGATGCGTCCGACTCGGCCCAAACAACTCGGATGCCAACGAGAGCTGTGCTTCAGTCGCGTGCACATATGACGGCCCGAGCCGGAGTAGCATCGGATGCATTGGGATCGGCTCTGGTGTCGTTCTCACAGAGTAGCAGCCCCATATGAACTGGGAGAGCTGTTGGTAAATGTCCTCCCAATCTTGAGGCCGAGTGAGGCCCTGCAAATTAGGCACGCAATGGAAGGTGTCTGAGGTGTCTTCAGTCTGGTGCTTGAACTTGATGTGTGCCTCCAAGATATCAAAATGCTCTGACATGCCATCTAGCAGTAGGGTGATGCTTGCCAGCGACGATTCGCTGCATTCAGCTTGAGATGCCGCGGTTTGCGGCTCGACGCTGCTGGCGATACTGCCTGCAGCCGGGTTTCTCTCAGCACTAGGCCCTTCCCTTGGCTCGGGGTCCTCCTTGAAGACCAGCAAGTGGTACGGCTTTGTGGCCCCAAACAGGTTGGGAACCCGCACGTGGCAGACATCGACGCCCACTGGAACTCCGAACGCATTGAAGAGATGGATCCGATGACAAGCAGGTGCACTGCCACTTTGGGCCAGCTCATCATCAGAATGATCGGCGAACTGTACAAAGTCCCTTGTAGCACCTGGTCCAGACAGCATTGACAAGAAGGATGCCCCTTCAAAGCTTCTTCCAAGATCTCCTGTGAGGTGTTGGAGGCACTTGGCTTCATCTAAGATCTTGAAGTCGCTGTCAAGAAGGAGGTCTCCATCACTGCTGCCCTTTATGATGCGCCTAAAGCTTGCCAGCATTCTTGTCGCATCCTGAGAGGTTTGTATTAGCCTTCGCGCGGTTTCCTCGGCACATGCTGGAATCATCACATACACTACCAGGATCAGAAGACGTGTCCATAGAGCACTTCTTGTGAACTCCCCACCAAGGACTTCAAACATCACCGCATCAGCCAAGGACACACAAATGCCCATTGGAATTGACAAGTACGCATCCATGAAAATTGCAGCATAACAGCATGTAAGTGCTGAGTTGAAAGCTTGCATTTCCAAGTAATGCGTCATGTCTGCACAGGTCAAAGTCTTCACCAAATGAAGGAGATACAGGATCACGCCCAGCGGGCGGAGTGCATTGGTCAACTGCTTTTTGCAAATGACGAGCGCCACATGTGATAGGATGTACGCAGCAGCAGCATGTGACAAGTCATTCTCGCCACGGGTGGACAGCAATCGCAACATCTGGATATGGCAGTTGATCTGGGAGGACAAACTCAATTGCATCAAGCGCCACTTTGACATTTCCTTGTCAGCCGGAGAAAATCTAACTCCAGTCCTGGTCCTACATCTGGACGCTACCTAGTAAAATGGTCTATGTTCTTCAGGGATTTAACAGCCCAAAAAGGCCTCAACAACCAATTTACTAGTAAGGCACTTGTTACTACTAGCGTGGCACTTGTTACTACTAGTAAGGCACTTGTTACTACTAGTAAGGCACTTGTTAACTGCAAAAGAATTGCGTCAATATAAACGACCAAAGATCCGCGTGCATGCTGCTGCCATACTCCTCCGCCCAACCACGCCTCAGTGTGCACATTGCCTGCCACCCCAATTTCTGATGCACCTCCTGCCCCAGGTTTATGGCATCCCCCAGGTGCACATGAAGATGCCAATGGCAAAGACCAAAGCGGACTAGATCCATGGCACCGTAGTCCACGAAGCGGCCCAAAAAGCGAAGAACAGGACCAAATGATTTGCCCGTCGGAGTCTACGCCTCTTTCTTAAGTCTGGCTCTGATCGTGTGGAAACTTGCTGGGATAAATATCAAATCTGTCTGCCGCTCGGCCTGAGCCCAAAACTGCAAAGCGCATGCTGACCAACGAAACGACGAGTGACTTAGTGACACACTGTCCACTTCAGGCCAAACATTATTATGTTTTCCGCTCTGCCCCAAAAAAACAAAAGTATGTGGTGCATATGTTGATACATATACACTATAAACATGTATAAATATTGGTGGCATAGGCATAGGTGCATATGTATACACACCATTGGCATGATCTTTTATCTCTCCCCCC